ATGAAGTTGGCTAAAAAAAATTCTCGCCGGAGCGAGCACATGAATATGACTCTTTTCCACTTTCCTACCTCTGCAATGCAAAAAAAAAAACAAAAAAAAAACAGGGTAGCGGGTCTATAGTCTAGGCGACACAAATATCGATAAGCCATTGGCTACGGCAGTACAATATTGACCAGCCTATACCAAGGCATCACCAATATTGGGAAACTTTTGGATTGACAGATTATTATTACCCAGCTTAAGCCACCGTATATTCAATATAAAAAACCATTGGCTCTAACAGTCGAATATTGTCAGGTTATGCCGGCGTATATCCAATATTGGAAAGCTATTGGCTTTGACAGTCCAATGTTGACCAGCCTATGCCAACGTATCACCAATATTAGAAAACCATTGGTTTTGATAGTCCTACATCGTCCAATGTGATTCCAATATAGGGAAACATATGGCTCATTTGGGCCATTGTTGGGCCGTTCTTTGCCCCATCAAATCCAATGTTGGCCCAACACTGTGTGCTGCCTGGGCTGCTTTTCTCTTTTCACGGCACATATCCAGAATATCGGACGAACCGAGCACATGAAAACTGACCTTCAAACCTTTCTCAACACTTTTGGTTCAGCCCCAGTCACGGCGTTTTGACGAGGAGGCAGGTTTTTGTCTGGTTCCGTTCAAAACAACGCAGGAATACACGTCTGGCATGGGGACTTCTGCCCACAGCCCCAGACCGGAAGTGCGACCGACGCGCAACCACCGCGCCGTGACGTCACAGAGTTGAGTTCGTGTATACGACACCCGCCGTTTCTTCCCTTTCAGCCGGAGAGACGGACGAGGGGAAGCGGCAGAAAACTCCGCTCTTTCTTTGGACTTAATCGTGTCGGGTATTGTCGCCGGTGGCGTGCTGTGCGGCGAAGAGGCGTTAAGAAGCGAGGCCGGGTTGTGGTGCGAGACTTCAACTTTAAAAATTGTTTTCTCGCTTTAAACAAAAATTACTTTGATTAAACTTTCATAATCAAAAGATTATCGATTGTTCTTCCAAACCCACTGTATTTTGTATTTTTACTCTGACCACCTCAGGGTGAAATAAACGGCTGTTTATGCGTCAAAACGCACTTTTTTGCAACTTCAGGATTTTTGTTTACTGCGAAATATTTAATTCAGCGGATTTAGACATTTTTTTATAGATTATATACCTGCAGGGGGCAACCGGTGAAAAGTTATATTAATTCCCTGGAGTAATCAGATGTTTTTCGATAAAATAACAAAAATGTTAACATTTTCGAAAGTTGTTTATTTTTTTTAATACTTAAATTAAACAAAGCTTCACAAGCCCAACCACATTATAAGTCGAAAGCCGTGCAAATTTAAGAAAAAATATTGTTAAGTGTTTCACTAAAAACCAGATGTTTCATCAATTATTGAGTGAGGCCTAGTTTCACGCTGTTTTAAAAGTTAAAATCGCGCTCACGTCATCAGAAAATTTTTTCGTCAAAAATATTTCAGGACATGGCTACGGACATTCCGCCAAAAGGCCATGAATTTTTATTTTAAAAATTGGAAGGGGTCGGGCGCGACGTCTGGGACGTTTCACATGGAATGACCCTATTATAAACAACGCACATGAAAAGCAATATTGTTTTTTTTTTGCGGGGGAGGGGGGGTGGAGGTGTTTATATTAAAATGAGAAAACTGTACTACATCTGATAGCGATGCATGTTAGGCAGTATTTTGGTTCGTCTTACCGTATCCTCGGTGTTTACATCAAGGAGACGTGGGAATTGCCGTATTCTAGAATATCCTCGTTAAAAAGTATCTGTTCATCACCGATTGTTGCATATTGTCTACAGGTCGACACCATTCATTCTTCGAAGCATTCGACATTTTCGCAGACTACTAAAATCCTCAATGGCGCGAAGGCATGATACTGGCATGCTAATCCTCAGTAATAGGCTTGAGATGGCGGCAATTGTTTTGAAAACGTTTAATAAAAGTTCATAAAAAAAATGAAGAGACAGATTTTTGTTGCGCGGGCTCCATACGTATTCACTGCTTCGATGTTTCGTTCAAGTTTATCCACGTTTTTTTATATTTATTTTATTTTGCGGTCACGACGGGCTTTGCGCAATTTTATAAATGACGACTTCGATCGCAATTTCAGGCAGCGGCAGCTCGGTCCCCGTTCCATAATCCGTTTTACTCCAAGTAAAAGTAACACGCTCTTTGCTTATCAATACACCCCTTTCGAAAGCCTGCCCTTTGTCGGAAGCCTTGGAATCCCTGCACAATGGCGTACAGATGCCACGGCAGAGCCAACGCTACGAGACAATAGGACTCCCGCGCTGAAGCTTTGAACAAACTGTGGCGTTCTCATTTTGACCAGTACAAGCTCGTTTGATTAGGCATCGCACGACTGATGGCGGCTTTGCTGGTCTTTTTTTCTTTCTGTGTAGTGCTGAATAACGGGAAAACACGTTTCGGCGTCTGAAATCGGCTAGATTAAACGGCGCAAGACGAACGAAAGTGCCGGATTCATGTCACCACTGCCAGGGTGGCCTGAATCTAGGTGATGACGTCAAAACATCTAGCATCTCGGCGCTTTTTGTTTTGTTTCTTTGGACACGTGAAGCGGCGGTTTTTGGCTGATGCTTTTAGCGTCTTAGCATGGATGGACCTGTGCTGCGACGGCGTGAGCATTTTTATTGTTTCTTTGTATTTTCCTTCCCACGTTATCGCATTCCACACCAGAGCAGGTACGCTTCTACTTGTGTGGCAGTTTGTCACGTTCAGGTTTGTACTGCCCAGAACAATCCTGACAAGTCCATTTTCGCAGAGCGCCCAGGACAACACAGGAGGCCTATATATGCAAACACCCAGCGCTAAAAAGCGACACGTAGCAGCGCTCTTTGTCTGCCGTTGCGTATGCTATCAGAAGCTAAACCATAGGCTCCTGTATGCTGATAGTGCCTGCACAATCGCTAGTTGCCAGCTTTCACCACATGAGTGCGCCGCACACCCATCCAGGACAGAAAACGTGAACGACGTGAACAAATTGACTTGCCTCTCTCGTGCGTTCTAGTATTCTTGGTTATATTTTGGGAATTTGGCGGGGTAGCTGTGAGTCGCACTTAGGTAATTAGTTTTTTTTTAATCACGCTTTTGACCGCGTTTTAGGCTGACTCGAGAAACAAGGTGCCAGGGCTGTCATCTGTTGAAACCCCAAGCCCGGGACCATCAAATGTGGTGAGGATCATTTTGAGAAAAGACTGCGCCTCAAATTCTACCTCCGATTACTCGAGAGCACCCAGCAGGCACCTTTTCGTGACAAACATTAAGGAAGGCTTGTCTAGACATGCCTTTCTTAAGGTCGGTTTTTGTGAAGCCTCAGCATCCTGCTGAGGCTTCACTTTTAGGCAGACATGTACAAGTTTGGCATCAAAAGTAATGTGAGTAGAATAGAAATTACTGACATAGGGGAATGTAACTGAGAAAATTACTAATTACCGGGAAAAAGTAGCGCATTACTTTTGAAGTTACTTTTACATGTTTTTTATGATAAAAAGACAATACAGAGGTTTTGATCCGTTAGCGAAATTGTGCTAGCCAAATATGAATCGGCTTGTTTTTATTTTTCCCAGAAACACTTTTAAAACTGGTTCTGCTTCTGCGTGCCTAATTGTTTTATACTTTCTTGTTTGTTTGGTCAATGATGTATTGCGAATGTTTCATTTATACTTTGAAATTTAGCACTGTCTGAGCTTGATTTTTTAGACAGTGTTTGCTTGTTTACAGTGTTATATAAAGTACATAAAAAAGTACTTGAAATAAAGTAAAAAGTAAATGAGAGGTTATATACTTCAAGTAAACTAGTAAGTACACCAGGTGCAATGTAGTTGAAGTAACGTGTATAAATACAAAATATTTCAAAGTAAAGTACAAGCACTTTAACACAGTCTTGCATGATGCCCTTTGATTCTCTATACAGAATTGTTTTTTTTTAAACTAGTATGCATTGCTCCTAGGCTAATCGGAGCCCCATCAGTGTTTCACGGAAATGGCAGCAAATATTGCATAAGGTCAAGTCGCTGCGGAGAAGTTGTTTTACTATCGCTGACGAGTTATTTGACACAATCAACTTATAAGGAAGTTATTTCCATCGGTCTCACAGCCGCCATTACTTCACTCAGAGAAATGACCTGATGACGTCTCGAAAGAGCGCGTTTTCACACGACGATATCGCCATTTTTTGTTTTCAAATTTGGAGAATGTACATTAAAGTCGGGAGTTTTACTTTCCTCGGAAATTCAAGTACATGTTCAGAGAATTTACTTCGAGTAAAGTGCAATTTTTCTAAACAGTGGTACTTTAAATACCATGTACATGGAGTACTTCCCAACGCCGCTTGTTAATTATTTTTATATAAAGATGTTAGAGGAATTACTACAGGTTTCTCGAACGATCGTTAAATCTTTAAAGGGGTCATGAAACAAAAATGTATTGACCTCATCTTAATTTTCTTAAATCCATTAAAGCCCAAAGCTGTTGTTTTCTAAGTTTTGCGGCCAAATATTGTGTCTGGAATTTATAAACCGCGTTTAAAAATCACAAAAAATCATAAGTTTCGGCGATTCTGAAACGACCATACGACACGGTGTGGGAACCAGAGGCAACAAAACGTCATCATAAGTGATATATAAAGCGGAAGAGATATTAAACTTGATTTATTGTTCGCATAACAAATTGAAAATGATAAAAACAAATAATCATTTAACGACGCTTTTATATTATTTACACGATACTGCATCACGTGATTGCGATTGAGTTTCGGTTTCAAACGCATCCGAGTCTTCCGTCGCTTGGTAGCCATGGCAACGCCCGGGTCTGTCGGCTGCTCGTCTGGCGGGCTGCGCTGCGTATGCTACTGCCCGCGGCAACTTTAGCACTTTAGATTGTGGTTTGCGCTCCTCGTTTTTCGTGCGCGTCGTGTGCGCGTTTCAGTGCTCACTATGCCGACCGTGTGTCTTGTGAGAAACTGCAGCACGACGTACCTTAGTGCGCCCAACGTAAGGTTACATTACCTGCCAGGCGAGCAACACCGAAGAGCCCTGTGGCTTCGAGCCATTGGCCGCGACGGTCCGGACGACATCGGCGACCGCGTGGGTCACTTGTGTTCAAACCACTTCCTTCCGGGTGACTACGAGACGAACATTCAAGTGCGGCAAAGCCTCGGCCTAGACACCAAGCACGCACGTCTCAAGTCAGACGCCGTTCCAACACAGAATCTGTGGTTCAACTCGCCGCCCAGAAAACGAAGAAGGTCTGAGGTAAGCTTGTGTGACGTGTAATAGTGAAATATGTTCCAGTTTGTAATACAATGTTTGATATATTTTGTCATCACAGGATACCTCCGACTGGTCGGACGATGTAGACGTGGTCGTCGAAGCGTCAACTTCGCATCGAATGGTGGACGGCTGGGCACAAACAACAAAAAACGTCGTTACGGCTTCCTGCCAGACTGACGGAGGCGACGTGCAAACGCGGTGTAAGAGTTTTCTATTTGCTTTGGTGCAATGACTTTCTCGTTACAAGCTGACTGCCACGTATTCCATACACTAGTGTAAATTCAGACAACCAAACCCGCCTGTTTATTTAGTGATGAACATAGAGTGCCCCGAAACGATTTGCATAAATGACAGAAATTACTATAAAATATACGCAACTTTCAGATCTAGAGAATGTGACCTAGATTAGAAGAAAGTCAATTAAAAATTTTAACCCGATTAATTGCTACCCCTTTATCGGCTTTTTTATTACCATGCATATATGGTTCTAAAAAAGTCAAAATTAATTTTTTTTTCCTTTGCTACTGCTGCATATGTTATAAGTGGTGCAATATACAATTTTGGATTTTAAATCAACCTTGATGTGTAGCAGAAAAAAGTCGAAAGTCGCCCACAGTCACAAATTTTATTACTTCAGCCGCAGAGGCAACAAGGTTCGTTGATATTCTCCGGCAATAGCAAACTCCCTTGATTGTTCACAATAGTCTGCTACGCTAAACACTCCTAAAGTGGCTAGGACGCACATGACCTTTATTTGTTTGGAGTTACGTATCTCGCCCCTACAGTTTAGTTTAGGTCAAAATATCCTCTAAAGTTTGCCTTCATACAGGTGTGCTTGTCCACGTCCGCGTGTTGAAAGCGTTGGATTTTTACCTTTTTTGTTAAAAGTTAACGGGTTAAAATCATAAATCGCGACTAAAGCATTAGTCGTTTAATTTGTAGTTTAATTGATCAACAGCCAAGAGCTACAATGTTGGCGACAACCCTTAAGTCCTATAATGCATGTATCCAAGACATTATTGAAGTCGCAATTGTTTAAATGCGATTAGAAGAGATTAAAGCTTATTATTACTCCGCAGCCAAGTGAGAATGTGACATTAGGCGATAGAATGAATCCCTTCTTAGGCTGTCAGTGACTATAGTTGCTATCACGCCGTCTAAAAGATTGCCATGAACTTTGAGCAGGGTCTTCTGATAATTGTAGTAGGAGCCAAGGCCGGTGCACATCGCGAGTCGTCTTGCTGTCCCAGAGGTGAACCATCGGGCTGGGGATCGAAAGCTTATTGGTTAAATTTCTGGTGGGGGATGAGTTGGTTTAATTGTGACATAGATTTACTTACGCTGTAAGTTGTGCTGACACGCCAGTTGTGCTGACATGCCCGGACAGACTGGGAACTCTGGGAGTAGAGGGTTCTGTCATTAAGTATTCCATGGTTCAATCATTTTGAGCATGCATGATTTTTAATCTTGATTGTTTACTTATTTCTAGATACACAGGCAAACCTTACTGCTTGTGCAAGGAAATGCGTGCATGTCCAGACTGAAGACAGGACCACTCCCAGTACTGCCCCTGTCTGCACTGCAAACCCTTCTCCTCCTCCGTCTTCTCCTCCTCCCCCTCCTCCCCCTTCACCTACTTCAGTTCTTCCTCTGGCTGAACGAATGCCTTCTCCCATCCCACTCGTCTTCGAGGGTCCACAGCACACTTTCAGCCTCCTGGGATCTGATGCCTGAGACTCGGAGTATGAAGTTGAGCAGTGCTCGGGATTCTTCTCATCGTTCAACGAGACCTTTTCGTGGGGTAATTCTTTCTACTTTATGCAATCGTTGCATGGTTTGTGTACTTCCAGATAATGCGCTGCGAATGTGTCGCTCACTCAGGTCAACTTTTCCAGAAAAAGTTCACATGTAACTATAAAAAATACATTATTTTCTTCATGATATTTTTCCTTTGAAAAATAGGCGCCTGCGCCTGTGCATTATCTACATCTCCTGCTGTGTACAAGTGCACTTATTTATAAATAAATATTCGTTTCTGTTTTTCCTTTTCTTAACTCGGGGGGGGGGGGGGGAGGGGGGTTTAGAGGGCGGTCTTTTTCCTGGGTATTCAGTGTGACAATTTTCATTCTGTTCCAGGGAATGTGTGCTTGATTGAATACTTTGAATTGAATCTGTTCCAATCAGAGAAGGGAAGGAGATGATGGGAGTGGTTCCTGAAAAAGCAGTCTTCTGGACAGTTTTGTGGGGTTTTTGTTCTGAGCTAGCACAACATACAGCTGTGGCTAGATTTTCTTGCTGAAAGCTGGGTTTTTTTCTGTTATTCTCTAATATTGGATAAAATCGGCTGAGGAGTTAATTTTCGGGTTTTTCCGACCATATAGCGAAAACATGAAACGTAATTATAGCCACCAGTCAGTTGTGGCCTTTCTTGAAGTAAGCGTAGATTACCAATTTCGTTTTATTTAAGCAAAAGGTCACCAGCAACTGCCACTTCCTGATTTAATATATTTTTCAAATGAAATTGGTAAGAGAGTAAACTGGAATTTCAAGAAGGTATTAGATTGACTTGATGCCAGTTACATATAGGTTAGTTTCACGATACACCATTGTATAGTCTAGAAAGGCTGGTAAACCTCTTTCTGGATGTGCTGTATTGATCAGCATACAAGTGGTACGTCATTAGCATTCTTTTCAGTCTTGATAAATCTTGAGAGCATGCCAAGTGACTCTGCCAATGATGGCAGTCAAGAAGAGCAATTAAAGCTATATTTGGCTCACACTAACTCTCACTTGCTTCAATTTATCTTCCTTCGGAGTTCCCCTCAGTGTTTCTTGCGGTAGCATTTTACTTGCCGACAAGCCATCTGTGCACGCACGGGCTTCTCTAAAATCTCAAGGGCAGTTGACCAGTATGAAAATTGAGTGCCACTCAATGCTTCTCTGTGTCTCTGGCTACTCCAGCGAATGCACTCAATCCAGAACCAAAGGAACTTGTGTGAGCAGGAAAAAACTGCCCTTCATGCTGTCTCCCCAGCATGGATTCTGGGGAGACTACGTACCGGAAGTATATCTTGTGGACTGGCTTTAATGACAAGTTCCAGTTAAAAAAGTGAAAGCCGTTTACAACTCCCAGTAACACCGAATTAGAGCGCAGCTCTTGAGGAGGAGGAGGGAAGGGTACTGGGGGGGTGAAGTGACCTGGAGGGGTCACGTGACGATGCCGATGATGTCATCAGTGACGTCGCTGATGACGTCATCAGTGACGATGACGATGCGGACTCCGATGACGTCATCAGCGATAATGACGATGCGGATGCCGGTGAAGTCATCAGTGACGTCACTGATGACGTCATCAGTGATGATGACGATGACGATGCTGATGCCAGTGAGGTCATCAGTGACGTCACTGATGACGTCACCAGTGATGATGACGATGACGATGCGGATGCCGGTGACGTCATCAGTGATGATGACGTCATCGGGAAGTCACGTGACCTCGGCGGGGGGTCACGTGACCCTGGCTGTGGTCACGTGACCCCGGGGGGGGTGTCACGTGACTTCGGGGGTGGGGGGGTCACGTGACCTCGGGGGGTCACGTGACTTTGGGTGTCACTGACCTGGGGGAGGGGTCACGTTACCTCTGGGGGTCACGTGACATTGGGGTGACCTTGGGGGTCACGTGACCTTGGGATGAGTTTGGGAGGCCGCGTGACCTTGGTTACTCCGACGCCGACGCTGCTCAAGCCGGGAACGGGCCCCTAAGAGCTGCGCTCTAAAAAAACTGAAACACAGAAGACAAACAACCTACCTGGGTGGCTCTCACTTTTACTGTTGCCCTCTATTTTTCTAAATTATAGTCCCCAATGACTAAGCAAAATAGTTGTCATGACAGTCATTCCAATGCACTAATTTTGTTCCAGACTTGACAACACCACTTAAGAGGTCTCACCGCGGGAGGACCGCAAATTCATTGTGTTTGAGAGCAGCCTCAAAAAGCTCTTCAAGGTGTGCCGGACATGCTACGCACCATACCAAAGTGTATCTCGCGTGTCTGGCACAATGCTCAAGGTGCAGACGCTCTGTGCCAAGGATCACTGCCTCCTATGGAGAAGCCAGCCCGTAATGAACGGCAAGGCAGCCGGCAACTTGCTGGTGTCGGCAGGCATACTTTTCACCGGCGCCAGCCCCACCAGCCTGGTCAGAAGACTGGAGCACATCAAGATTCAGGTGTTCACGCTTCCGACCTTCTACAACTATCAAAGAGGCTACCTGCTTCCTGCAATTAACAAGGTAAAAAGCAAGGCTGTGCACAGTTATGGGTTATTTGTACTCCCCCGTTAATATGAATGCCTCGCTATATACACAACATTTTCGGGGATGAACTGGGTAAATACATGCAATTTTGTCTTGTTATTGCGGATAACTCAGATTATGGAAACTTTTTTAGGGGAACAGAGGTTCCCATATTAACGAGACATCACTGTACCACCAAACAAATCGGTCACCACATTATCAAGACATGCCACTACCATTCTCTCTAGTTCTTGTAATTCGCTCTATGTGCGAGTAGATCTCTACCGATAAATAGTCTTCAATTTCAACTATGCCTGTGCTGATATTAAACCACGTTATACATTTTCATATTTTGAATTTACAGTCTCTGTGGCAACTTGTCTTGAGAGATGGCCTTGTCCTAGCAATAAGAGTGTGGACAAATGGGGTTGTCTTGTAAGCTGTGCTGTGTGCTTTGTGCAACCTCATAAAAAATCCTATGTCTCAACCAAATCTGGCGAGAACAACAAGAGGAGCTGTTTCTTCAGCTGGAAGGTTAGGAGGTGGACCTCGCTGGCAATGGGCGGTGCGACTCACCCGGATTCTCCGCCAAATACATGACCTACTCTCTGCAAGCTGCTCAACTCAACAAAATTCTACATTTCGAGCAGGTGCAAGTCGGGGAGGCGAGCTACAGGCACTATGGCGGTATGGCCTTGTTACATAAAGAAGTTTGCCACCTCTCCAAAAGTGCGCAGAAGTCAAGTCCAGCACCTCCATGGAGAAACATGCTTTCCTCAAATGTCTGGAGAAAGCGAAGGATCGCGGGCTCAGCGTTGTGTCCATGACAACGGACCGGCATGTACAAGTCGCAAAGCACATGCGCACGGAGGAACCTACCATCCGACATTATTTCGATGGCTGGCACATCTCAGAAGGTACTGAAAATACAAGCAGGGATTTGTGGCTAATTCTTTATTAATAGCAGATATCAGGACCACTCAGATTATACAAACACCTTTATGTGGCTATACAGTGTATGCAGTCAAAGCTATGGGCGTTCATGCATCCCCGTATTCCGAGCACTGATCAAAGCTCAAACTAGTTCTCGGGTATTGCTCAGCCGAGCTCTGGAAACATGTTATGCATTTGCATTTTATATGAATGCGGTGTATATCTTCCGAAACATTCTCTACAATAAACATAGAACAAACAGCTGCTTTGCAATATTCGTAAAGCCGGTCACATTTAACCTTGAAAATAAATAAGAAATAAATATTATAAATGTAATAATCTTCCAATTCGACATTCATTACAGACACCAAGAAGAAGCTGGCTGCCCAGGCAAAGCGAGCTGGGTGCAGCGTGCTGGAGGTTTGGATTCAGCCTGCCAGCAATCACCTCTTCTGGTGTGCTGCGGTTCTCGACATGTGGAAGAGTGCGCAGAGCCACGTTGCTAACAAGCACGCTGACCATCCAGGGCTCTACACGTATTGTGCTCATGAGGACCTTGGAGAAAGGGAGTGGCTAGTTCCTGGTGGGTGTGTTTAATAAATTTAAACTTGAAAGTGTTTCTGGCAAATGCCTCGCATTAACCGCTCTCGTTACTACTACCTATTTTACTGTCTTTCCACCCAGATCGATCACAACTGGTGCTATGTGTCATGTAAGCCATTTCAGTGCTACACAACCTCACATCTTGCACGTCATTGCACCCATGATGAAAGTCACATGGCACAGTCTCGGCACTTAATTGACCCTAATAGCTCGTAGTGCCCACTGGCATCCGCTTTATGGTGAACAAAAATATAGGTATACTTTAACTTACATATCCAACTATAGAAAAATTCAGGGCAGCAGTAATTTGCCCTTTTCTGAAACAATTGTGCGTTGTAGGCTAATATGACGTGTGGACTGTTACATGTTCACATAGCTCAAGCAGAAGGAGGTATAATTGTATCAGGAATAGCAGATAAGAGACTAGGTAGTACAGTTTAAGTGTGCTATGCTGTGCATGCATGCTTGTGCAAACATTTTGCTCAAGTCAACATGTGCACCTTATATATCTTCAGCTTCTTTTGCACTTGTAGTAAACTAAAGTATAATGCCTGCTGGTGCATATTTCTCAGGCGGCATTCTTGCTACCACAATGAAAATCCGTCAGCATGTCACTGATTATAGTTTCAACCTAAAAATGAGACGTTTACAACTCCCTGTAATGCCGAATTAGAGCTCGGCTCCTGAGGAGGAGGAGGGGAGGCCTCCTCCTTCCCTTCCTTTCTTGAGGTATTTCGATTTTGCCACATACCATGCTAAACAATCTGAGAAAGATATATATATATATATATATA